CAACTGCTGTGTGACCCTGGGAAAGCTCTTGCCTACTCTGAGCTTCAATTTCCTATCTGTTGAACGGAAGGGCTGGATGGGAAGCTCTCTAAGGTTTTACACCCTAGGATTTCAAACACCATAAGAACACTACGCCTTCCTCTTAATTTCTTGTAAAGTTTTATAAGAAAATAAAGGATTATGGCCTTTATTTCCTCCCTCCCAGTCTTCCTCCTGCAGAAAGTACATAAAAGAGCTCTGAGTGTGAACCCGCTGAAACATCCCTCAGCCACGTTGAGGAGAAAGACCCAGGTGTGCAGTCAGCTGTGTGATGACCTGCAGACTGAGCCCAGCAGCTCACACCCTCAGCCCAAGGGACCTTCCCCTCCCGAGTCACCTCCCGCCCCAGGCCCACCTGAGCGGTTATGCAGCTCCCCGCCATGCCTGCTAACGCCCGCTACCCCGCTGGAGCCGCCCGAGGAATGAGGTGAATGGTTGAAGTTTCCAGAATTAGCAGGAGACACTGGGCTCCTGGAGAGACTTGGGAATTTAACTGGTCTGATGGGTGTCTGCAGGAACAAAGGGGTGGCAGGGTCAGGATGGCACTCCTCTCTCTAGACTCAGAGTCACATTGGGAGGGACCCTGGAGTTCTACTGGCACAAGACCCCCACTCACAACCCCTGGCATATCCTTGCCAACCGGCGCTCAGCCTGCTTAAAGTTACTAAGGGATGGGGCTCTGTGGACAACCTCACCATTACACAGGTCACCTTGCTCAGTCCCAACCAACTCTGTTATTGCCGTGGAGTTGATCCGGCCCACAGCGCCCCTAGAGGACAGAGTGGAACTGCCCCAGAGGGTTTCCAAGGCTGCTGATCTTCACAGAAGCAAAGTCCAAACCACACCCACTGCCCTGGAATTGATCCCCACTCACAGCGCCCCTAGAGGACAGAGTGGAATTGTCCCACAGGGACTCCAAGGCTGTCAATCTTTATGCCCAAACGAAGTCTACTGCTTTAGAGTCAACTCCAACTCACAGCGCCCCTAGAGGACAGAGTGGAACTGCCCCACTGGGTTTCCAAGGCTGTTCTGGTGGCATAGTGCCTGAGGCACTTGACTGCTAACCTGAAGGCTGGTGATTCAAACCCACCAACCACTCCTCACAAGGAAGGTTGGGCAATCTACTTCCGTAGAG